CCATTTCTAAGTGGGCGCCTTTGTGCGTCTGAGGCTATGAATTCCAGAGGAACTCAGCTGATAGGTGCACAAGAGCTGGGATGGAGAGCCCTGTTTGGTGGAGATCTCCTTCCACTGGCGCTGGAAAGGCCAGCCCAAGGCTGGCAGCCAATGCTATTCAATCACTGTGGAAGCAATGATTGAACAGTCTAATTGCTCAATACCCTGGCACTGGCCATACAGGATCCTGTCTACTGCAGAGCTCTACTTGTGCTGTTGGGTCTGTTTCTCAGGTCAACTACTTCTTCATTACTTCTTTAAACTATAACATGAACACAAACTCTGATTTTGCATGAAACTCCATCCTCCAGCCATGCAGGATACAGATCTATGCATCTCTTTTGGCTGGTATTGACCAAGCTATCTTTCTAGATAGGTCATGGCTGAGGAACTGCATCATCCTTCCTTACAGAGGAACTCTATGTCCTCTACAGCTGTTCCTATCTTGTCTGATGGTGACACAGCTCATTGTACTGAAAGACTGTACAGATGCAACAGCGATCTTTCCATCAGACTGAGCCAGCACAGCTGCGCCGCACCCATATGGCTCCTATGGCATAATCTCATCGTGAGGTATGTGGGTTCGTCACGGCTCCGTTCAGCGGGATTGTCTGACGAGGTGTAGCCTTTAAAATAAAACTTAGTTATTTTTTTTTGTGTCCAACACAAAGCTAGTTGAAATGACGACCGTTATCCTCTAATATTTTACGCTGTTAACGTTAGTTGCACACCAATTACATCAGTTACCCGACGTTAGTTACCCTAGTTATGTGAGTCGCTCTAGTTAGTTACGCTAGTTGAAGTGCCCCTAATTTTGGTGCAAAAATGGTGATGGAGGAGAACTAACTGCACCGGCACTAAATTATGGCACATAATTCAACTGACCCATGCAAACCCAAGCCTGCTCCCGCTAGCTGGGACATTTAAATCCAAACCACGACATCACCCCGAAAAATTTAAAGTTTCGCGAAAAGACTTAAAAGAATTTTTCTAGCCTCAACTAGCCTCACAGACCAGAGCCAGACTCTAGGTTTTTTACCGTTTTAAGAGATATTTTTAAATTGTATAAACTAAACTATCCAACAGGAGCATCCCTCAGTCATGCAAAACGCCCCTATAATAGGGGCAAGAATCCGCCCCTATTTTTGGGGTGGAATCCGTCCCTAAACCTGCCCCTGAATGGTGAAAGCACCCCTATTTTAGGGGCAGTTTCTAGAAACATCCTTTAACATTTAGGATAGGATTTCAAACCCGCCCCAAACAGTAAACGGAACTGTACTCAAAATATATTGAAAACGCCCCTATCTTAGGGGCAGCTTTGAAATCCGCCTCAAAATGACAACACACCCCTATTTTAGGGGCGGATTTAGGGGTAGATTCTCCAAAAACCACTATTTGTAGGGAAACCTGCCCCTAACAGGAATTTGCCCCTAAATCTACCCCTAATTTGGAGCGTTTTGAGGAATGCTCCAGCATAAGTAAGGTACCTAGTCATATTGCTCCAACAATATCAACACAATAATAAGTTACTACGTTTATATCTAGTGTTCGCTTTCCTAGCTGAAATTGTCATGTGACATCTAAATATTGTCACATGACATCACAAATCATTTGTGTACCAGTTACTGTAGAAAGTGAACGGGAGAAGTGACCACAAAATTGGCATGTGGGACTGAATAGGAAACTCATTGTAAGTTTGATCCAATGTTAAAACATACCCTGCTGATTGCGAATTTGGCCTCCTTTCCTCTCTTTTCGCCAGAATTCCAATTATCTCAAAATCGAATCCATGGATTTGTGTCTTTGGCTATGGTTTGAACTTATCCGTTAACTCCAGGACGGCCTTGATTTGATGTGCTCCTTCTCGAGGATATATGAAAAGTCCATTCTGTACTAAGTATGTAGCGCTCTTGTAGAAGAAAGCCTCTAAACAAGGCTGAAAAACACACGCCTGCTAACGGCGACCCAGGACAGCCCAGCACTGCTGGAACAAGAGATAAACGAGGTCAACCAGGACCAGTCAATAGGTAGCTTGCGAGCTCTAACGATAGAAAAAGCAAACATCGTCAATGACATAGCCGAACTTGAAGAAGCCCTAGCAGATCCACCGGAAGAGGAACTCCGGGGACCCGAGAGAACACAGTATGGAGGACTCATGAAGAGCTACCATACTAGATTGGTATCCTGCGTGAGAGGCAAGTGATGCTAACGACCTACTCTAGAGTACATCATACCCGAATAGCTTGCAGGTTGCTCCAAACCGGCAAAGCCGAGGAGACAAAAAACCAGCGAACAATTGAATCGAATCACACACTGCCCATGGGCGCAGGGCTCCAACCATGATGACATTGTGATGTCTGTTCCTGTGTGAGAGGGTGAATGTTCTTGGTGCCAACTATGGCGCGGACCTCAATCAAATGGCAAGTTGCCTTAGCCTGAGGGAGATAGAAGCTACTTTAGTCTGAAGCTCAAACACTCAAAAGGACGCAGTAATCAAACTGTCCCCAGCCAGCCCCCGTTTTAAAGTACCCCAAGCTATCCAGTTTTTGCTCCAATGCAGCCAAAACCTCAACCTCGGCTGCTTCCAACAAGCGTGGTGGCATCATCTGGTCTCAAAGCGCGCTCACTGTATGGTACCAGGTTCTTTTTCTCCGACAAGCGTGAGGGCAACAGTGGTACATGCTACCGGCAAGCAACGGTGCCGGTACTGGTGAAGCCTGCCTTTCTCCGCCTAGTAGAGCTAGTAGATCGACTACTAGTACTGGCTCTTTTCACAGCCAGGGAGCCACATTTAGCTCAGCAGCTCTTGAACCGGCATTGAAAGAAGCATCATGCAGCTATTGAAAAGCAAGCTTGCTCAAGAGAGGTAAACAGACTACTAGCTAGGAGGTTGGTACGTAGCTCGCGGCAGGAAGTGAATGTCCAGCATGTCCAGCAGACGCCAGCCACTGGACATTTTGGTTGATAATGCACCCACGAACCATGCGGCGAGGGTGGTAGCCAGGTGGCGTAAAAGTACAGCTGTTTGCTGGATATCTGTGCGACCCTATGTCAACACAGGGTATTGATTCAAGGTTGAGCTTCAACGAACAAGAATACTGAATACTAAGCACTCGTCTTCTTTATTAAGGACTCGCAAGAGTTGGCTGCTTGCCTCAACTCATGGCTCCATCTACATGTATGCTTTGCTGGAGGATGTCTGAACGGGCACGGTCTGCAGCTGGGTACCGGTACGCTGGGTTAGCTGTTGGACCCTTATTGCGCCGCCGTCAAGGAGACCGTTTTTAAATGTATCCACGACGCTGGGGCTGCCTACTCATAGAATAGTGATACGTTGAGCAGAAGGGAGACTATGAAGATGGAAGGGACTTGCCTTAGATAGAGGATTACAGCAAAATAAATGTTTCGTGCGGGCGACCTAGCTATAGCCTGTCATTGCGAGCTGAGGCGCTCGTGGTGGGAAGTAGCCTTACATGAGAGGAAAGCCGCCAAGGAGCGTGTAGATTCCAGCAAAGCCGGACATTTCTCCTTTGGGGTGGAAGGCAAACTTGCAGATCTTGCCATCTCGGCAGGTTATGTGAACTTCTTCGGGATCGCTGACGACCTTCTTTCCTGCAGCTTGAATGGGTTCGCAAGGTCCAAAAGCATAGGGAGCGCCAGAATGCGTTCCTGATGGCACGAGGTCATGAACGACGACAACATCGTCCTGTGTCTTGCTCTGTTCCACCAAGCCATGGCGAAAGAAAAAGTCCGGGAAGGACTTGCCGACCTTGAAGAACTCTGCTTCAAAATCTTTCCAGGTCAGCTCATGGTTCACATCGCCGTTGGGATCATGAAAGAGAAACTCAACATCTTCCGTCACCATCTCTCGGATCGCTGCAAAGTGTCCATCGTTGACCTTTTCAAAGTACTGGATGGCCAATGCAACCTCTGGATTGCTCGGTGTGCTGGTGAAGCCACCACCGACAGTGTCAGAACCCGCCTCCAATTGCTTCACCTGGATCATTTGAAGGATGGAAGCTGTGGAATCGCAGGATGCTGTGCCATTCAATCGTACCGGCGCCTTCGACTTCTTCTTGAGATCTTCGGAAGACTTGCTGCGCCTCAAGAGCTTGCGGAGGGGCTTGAAGGATTTGAGCACCATGTTTGCTGAGTTTATGATGTTGTGGTTGTTGTGATGGGCTGGCCTCTGGCTGGATGTTTCTTATGTCGCTCTTCGGACTGATTTATCTTGCGCAAGATTCAAAAATTGTGAGAGATTAGAAAAGTCATGATGTGCTGAAAAGCTGAAAAGCTTGGCTCTGGAAACTGGAAACCTTGATTGAAAGATTGAATCGAATCATTCGATTCACACATTCCACTTGTACTGACCCAACGAAAAACTCTGTGGCTGAGACCAAAGATCGATGCCATGGGATTCTTTGGTAGTCATTCTAGTCTAGCTAGTCATTGGAGCTGTCATTGGACATCTAGTGCAGCAGAACCCCAACCCATGCCAGTGGCTAAAACTGGAGTACTCATGCTCAATAGTAGCAACTGTTGATTCTTGATAGTTAGCTGTTAGCAGCTCTGTTAGCTGAGTCACTCAGTCCTCAATTATTCTGGACGGTGGTACCGGTGTCTTACAAGGTGTCTTACGGTTCCGGTGTTCCGGTACCTGGTACCATACCGGTACTGCTATTAGCAGCTGTGCTATTCTGCTGTTCTGTTGAGCGTTCACATCTTCACATCACTTGGACACTTACTTGCTAGCTTGGAGCCTTCCCGAACTGATGACCAATACCCAATACCGATACCGCAGAAACCATCCAGCTGGCAAAGGTGTTACCGGGTGTATTGTGTTTGAGGCACGTGCTGATTTCCAAATTCCAAAATCCATACTGTTGACTAGTCTACACCAGTTCATACAATCGGCCTCACCGTTCCAACTTGGTTGTTGTTCGTCCAGATTGTTTACCAAAGTGGGTCAAAGTAGCTGTCAAAGTAGGTGTCAAAGTAAGGCAGTGCAATCGCGTGGCTTGATCGATGCGACCGAGTAGTTGTTGTTTTCTCGACCAGTGGTCAGCAGGCAGAAATCAATTGAGTGGTTTTCCATGGCGATGGTTAAGTGAGGTTTTATGGTGTTTCTTCTGTCTTATGGTCAGTGTCATCCAAGTGGGAGCTGTCAGACATTTCTGCAGCGAAGGCTGCTGTGGTTATAAAGCAGGTTCTAACAGCCTTCAAAGTTTATGTATGTTTAAATGTAGTCAATGATTCGACTCTTCTGGAGAATGGGGCAACGCAGGGCATGCCTCGGTTCCAAAGAGTTGCACGTCTGTGTTGATCCAGTTCACTGGGGGATACAATTTGGTTGCTCTTGAACTGTGCTGCGTAGCTCTGGTTTGGAATAAAGAATGGTTGGATTTCAAGTTGGTCTCTGGTGTTTTACTGAGCATGCTGGCCAGATACTACCCTACGGTACAAGCAGGTCAGCTACCCTGCAACCTGCCAGTGGAGCAAACAGATTTTCAATTCTCGCCCAAGAAGCTGAATTGAGAACTTTGCTTGTCACAATAGATACCAGGTACTAGCTAGCTGTCCATCTAATCCTTGTTGTTCAGTGCCCAAGAGTGCTCCTGCACCACTAACAGCCACTCACGGTTTTGCCCAATGCCCCTGTCAGCAACAAGCGTGTTGTGCATGATTCAATCTGTCAGTGTCAACTGTGTCACTGGAATTGCAAGCCACTTTGGTTTGTCAAGGGTTCTTTTCATCAATTTGATGTCATTATTTTTACAGCTATTTTTACGTTTTGTTTGAGCACTTAGCACGAGCTACGTGTAACGATCCGTCAAAGGTAATCATTCCAAAGCAAGTGCTCGAGTAACATATTTTGTCCGAACAGAACCGAGACCCAAGGACCATTCAAAATGCGTACACAGCACTAGCTAGGGGTGGGTGGCTCGTGGCTGGTTTGCTTTGCTGACTACATGCACTGCACTGTCTCGCTGGTTGGCTGCTGCTGTGCGATGTAGCCATGAATGTTTCAGTGTAACTGGGTCGCCAACTCAACGCGCTCTGGCTACATCCTAGCTAGCCAGCCAGAAGGGCATCCACACCGTGCCGATTAGAACATTAGAACTTGATTTGCGGTGTGGTGTTGCATCTGCGGTATTGAATGGTGCATGGCTACCAACGCACCCAAAGGAAGCAGGCAGTGCACGAACTTTGTGGCACGCACCGTGTGCCCGCGCAGACAAAGGGGGCAGATTGAATATTTGTTGGTCTCTCATGTCCCAACTTCGGTTCAGCAGTGACGAGATCGACGTGCCCCGTACAATCTGCCTCCTCTGTCAGCAATCAATGTTGTAGCCGCAAGAAGAAGTGGCTGTATGCACACGGGGATCGTTTGAATAGCTACAACTGTTTTGTCGTCTTCTCCTGCCTTGTCTTTTCCGACTATTTTTCTTGTTGCAGACAGCGAAGTGCACCGGTACAATCAAGGACGTCAAATGTTCATGGCTCACAGGACTTTCTTCATGAGATGCTCATGCAAGTAATGGTGGCAAGCAGCTTTGCTGGGAACCCAGAACCATCCCCAACATGGCAACGATAAGCAAACTCAAGCGCAAGTCGCCAACCTAGCCCAATACAATAATTCCTGTCTACAAACACAATGTTGGAGCTGCAAACGCCATCGGGGATCGTTAGGATGCTACCAATGTTTGCCATCTTAAGTTGCCGTACTCTAAAAAAAACCATAATCATAGACTTCTCGTTTGCGCCGACAGGAGGGTGAGGAAGAATATTTCCTCGGTAAGCGCCAGCAAGCACAATCAGCTGCACAAAATCGGCTCTACAGGCTTGTTAAAGATCGAATCTTCGATCTCCGTGCAAAACAAGAAAGAAGCCACAATAGAGAAGCAGAGCACTCACACCACACGAAACAGTATTCGTCAGTAAAATAACAAGATGGATCTCGGTTGGTTTGTCCTTTCGGTGTTTCTCTTTATAGAGATTCTTTTGGTGACACTGGTGTGCATGCCGATGCCAAGCAACGAAGTTCGCGGAGCCGTGAATGGTTGGGTGGCGTCGTTGTGGTTGTACCAACCCGTCCAATACGCCGCCATTGGCATGTTGGCCGTCGACGTGTTTTACTTGTGCTTTGTGTGGCAAGCCCTGAGCAATCCGTTGTACGACATGGGATTTTTCTCGCACGAAATGGGTGTCTCGTGCGAGTACAAGCAAGATTTGTACTTGGCCGAACGGAATGCCTACATTTCCGCATCCATTTTGTTTCTCTTTTTTGTCCTTCGACGATTGGTCGATATTCAAGACAAACTTCACATGGCCCGCAGTCAAGTCAAGGCAATACAAGGAGGAGGTGGTGCTGGTGGGGATGCCTTGTTGATGGATGGGAGTCACAAAAAGCCATTGGCCGTTGAAGCAGACGACAAAAAGGCAAAGTAGAAGGTTGGTCTCAGGTTGTACCGGTACATACATGCACATACGGTACGGTAATATTACATGTACCACAATCAACGCAAATTTCAATAGACGGCTTCTTCCGTGGTCAAAAATATGGCGGCGAGGAAGGACGCAAATCAGCACAAACTGATCATATTCTTTTCAGTCTCTAGCTAGCCAAATGATTGCTCTTGTGATTCATTCAAATCAGAACGATATCATTCAGTCTAAATTGCGCCCAAATAAAATACTGGTAGACACCTTTCCTGCACACTTAGTCTGGTTGGCTATCGGTAGCTAGCTAGAAGGAACCTTTACTCTGGCAATAACCACACGAACGCCGACTTTTTATTTTGCTACTTGGACTGCTTTAAAACCTAGCTGGTCCCGCCCTCTAATCCATGGTAACTTTCCCACTCAAGAACTGAGTAAACAGCAACTCCTTCTATGATCCCATGGAGGAAGACTGATCCATGAATTACTACTACTAGTAGTACCGTAGCTACGAAGTATGCTCCCATGGTGGGTTGTTTTGGGAGGAAAGCTCTTCTTTCTATTAATAGCTAGCTAGCTAGACTAAAAACAGTGCCAAGGATCCAGGCGACCGACTTTTAAAAATTGAATTCTATTTAAAAATTGCCGCAGCTCTGGTTGAATAAACTTTTAAAAAGCAAACAATTGAGCCAGGTCGTTGCATTTTTCACAGTTGTCGCTGGCTTATTCTCAGCGAAGAGAAAAAGGCAAAAAGATCCAATTCGCAAGGACGAAGATCGCCCTCGACCGATCGATACAACGATACAACCATCCCTTGCAAGCATGGTGGACATGTCCAGGCTGTGTTCTTGAACGATTAATCGATTTTAAAATCGGTGTAAGTGTTGAGATGGTTTTGCGAGAAGGCTTTCAGCGACTGCAGAGGTTGCTACTGGGGAGTGGTCGGTTTGTGGGCAACAGTGCCACGGCATCAGGTGTTTCTGCCACTAGTACTAGTAGACAAGCGGGTCGACAGATCAGGACCCACATTCCTCGATATCATCCTGCAGCGATTCGACCGACTGGTTTTCTGGATGTGGCTCGATTTGGTTTGATCAGTATTGCCACTCTTCCCTTTTCACTGTGGGTCGCACTCTTTTCCTACAATTACGTCTATCGAATTCCACTCTGTCAAGAGGCGCTAGCCAAAGAAGACCAGGAAATTTCGTTCATTCGAGGAGACCGCTATGCCGAACCACAAGATCAGGAGACGGATGGTACGAGCAATAGCAGTGCTAGCAGTACTAGCAATAGCAGTAGTCCCATGATTGGCCGGGAACGCCAATTGAATGAAGTCACGACCCTGCTGTCATCGGCCCCGCATCAAATCATTGTGGTGGCCGGTGCCAATGAATCGGGCAAATCACGCTTTGTCTCGGAAATTGTCAAGAGTGTACCACTGCAACGAGGCATTACGTATCTGCAATTGGCTCAAGTCGCCGATTCCCTGTCCACATTGACCCACGCATTGGTGAGAGCCTTTGACTTGCGATGGCTGTCCATGCGACACAGTTTGGTCGATGTCTTGCCGTTTGCCGGATCCGAAATTATGGTCATGAAGGAACGATTCAGCGATCGCGATTTGGCACAAGCCTTGTTGGTCATTACAGAAGCCCTCAAAGCCAAAGCGGCTTCTAGCAACCAGCAGCGACCCGTGATTCTCATTGATGGATTGGGCGAAGGCAGTGCGTGGATTCGATCTACTGAAGGACGCAATTGTCTCCAACGACTGCTCAAATGGTGCATTTACATTACCAAAGAACGACGATTGGCCCATGTCGTTCTGACGGGCAGTGAGGAGCTGGTCATCTCGCTCACTGGCGAGAATCGCATTACCCGAGGACACGTCAAGGTCATTGGATTGGCCGATTTGACCCATGATCAAGCGGCCGCTTTGGTGCGACAGGAAATTCCATACGCTACCGAGTCGGATATTCGTAAGATTGTCGACATGTTTGGAGGATTCATTCATGATGTGCAGGGCGTCAGTCGCGAAATACAAGCGCGGTTGAATCAAGTCGATTACAACGACAATAGCAATGATAGTCATGTTCGCGACAAGCTCCTGGATGATGTCATTTCGGCACGCTTTCGATTGCAAGTCGAACGCGTCACGGCCGCATTTGCCAAGGGACGACAAGAAGATGATCACACGGATATGGAGGGTAACAACAACCAGAAAAAAGACGACGAGGATGAAATGGATCCCTATTTGGATCCTCTCAAAGCGGTCTACTCGGAAGCCACGGCCGCCGAGAAGAATGACGACAACAATACTAATGAGGAGGAGCAAACGGCGAGTTGGTCGCAACTCCAACTCTGGCAGACACTCCAACGACTCGTCGAATCCAATCAACCCAATATGGGCGTGCCGTTTGCCGATTTGAGAGATGATGTCTTTGGGGGAGACATTACTCCGTTGCTCGAACTCATGAATGAGGACGTATTGGGATTTGACGTTGAGAGCAGTAGTTCGTCGGGAAGCTGGTCCTGGGAGATCAAACCCGCCACGCCGGCATTGGGGCGGGTCTTTCATCATTTGGTCAACAGTTCCCATCTCAAGGAGCGATTTCAACGGGAAGAAGATGTGCAACAAAGTTGCGAGCAAAAGGCCGCTATGGAACGAGAACGCCGACGACTGCGGCGGGAACGACAATGGTTGGATCTACGAAAAGCGTCGCTGCGGAAAACTGTAGAGTTGGGGACGGAACTGCGAGTCCGACGCAACAAGGACACGCAGCGTAAATTGGAAAAGGTCTACTGCAATATTGTGGAGGAGGAAGTCGCGAATGAGGAACGGGGCGCGGAACTGAGAAAGGAGCTAGAGGCCATCATGCTCAAGGCGGCGGCATTGGAAGAAGCCAAGGAGGAAGACGCCCACAAACGACACCATGGGGAAAAGGCCAGTGGTGGCGACGAAAGCAAGTCGGCGTCGACAATATCCAGCAAGTCACCCCATGACGTTCAAAAGTTGCTCAAAGCTGCTATTTTGCACAATTATGTTCAAGAAGGCAGCAAGGACAAGTTTGCGCGATTCCGGAATGCCTTTGAAGCAATGAATAGTAATAGTACTGATGGAATTGCCGCGGAAGATGTGGTCCGGTTGATCAAGGTTACCAGTGGTGAAGATGTGGACTTGGAGGCGGCCAAGTCATTTATCCGTGCATGGGATTTGAACAACGATACTAGCCTGGACTATGACGAATTTGTGAGAATGCTACTGACGGACCCCAAGAATAGCAAGATGATGCAGCGGAATGCAACTGCCAAGACATGACTGCCTAGCTAGCTTAGCCAGCAGTCGTTCAATGCCATGCCTGAAATATAAAGAAAGGGCGGTTGCTTTCATTCTGTTTAGTACTCTGAATCGAAAAGGTTGGCATCAATTTCCTAAATACCCTGAAAAAATCCTGTGAGCGTTGGATTTGTAGTTGGTCGGTGCTTTTGCCCATTGGATGTTCATCGGTCTCTTGGACCCCGCCAAAAGCCTTTGTTTCTTCCCACGCAAATCACCCTGGAGGCTCCTTCCATGTTAGCTCCATGTAATAGAGTGAGTAACTCTCATTCTTTGCCTAACCCTCAAAGCTGATTTTTCAGGGCGGCTTGGATACAAGACTGAGATCAAGGTGTCTTTGGAAGATATCGGGTTGGACCAGATCCCGGGCAAGTGATGAGTGAAGCTAGCTAGTAGCAGCAAGGTATCTTTGGAAGATATCCCGTTTGGGATTTTTGACACAGCTAATCACGTCAAATTTGACAAGGGCCCAACGTGTCTCCTTGGAAGATAACTGGTTGGGATGGATGGTTGGGCCGGAACAACCTGCCTTAGTGCCCTTCTTCTGTCCCAAAGAAGTGTCGGACAGATCTTTGCCAGATCCTGGGGTGTCATGAAGCAACTATAGCTAACATGATGACCATCTTCATAATTTCGTTTATACTTGCAAGGAAGGCATGATGAAGACTGTCACTCTACTACTGTTGACATGGATGGCGGCAGCTGCAAAAGCTCAGACCGGAATCCCAATCGACGACACCAGGTTTCGTGGGGCTGCCCATCATATCGGTAGCAGTGCTGCCATCAGGAACGACACTAACGTCGCGAGACGTATTTGGCCTTACACACCCTACCGCGAAGCCAAGCTCATGGGAAAGATAGAGCGTCAGCTGGGAGGTTCTTGTGACGCCATTGAAGTGTTCGATATCGAAAATTTGAACGACGAGAGCTCCATCTTTGACTTGCCGGGTGGACTGAATGCTATAGATCTCGTCAAGGAGCAGCTGGTGGAAGCCGAATCCGAAGTTGCCAGCAGCATCATTAGCATTTTGATTCCACAGGTGGCTCGAGAGGACGGTGCCGATGTTTCGCAACTGGGGGAAGAAACTGGAGTGGACGCCTGTGAACCCATTGACTTTGTCAACGTGGGGGATGTGTTGGCGTTCGGAATTGAGCAGGAGACCTCCGGTATTGGATTCTGTGCGGCTCTCAATCCATGCACCCATACCTACGCCATTGGACAAACGGGCATCATTCCCGATGTGGGAATTGCGGGAATCATCTTTGTCACCTTGGATGCTGTGGGATTCTCTCTAACCAAACAGTTGGGCAAAGAAACACTCAATCGAATGTGGGATGGTACCGGCGAGCCTGAGGAGATCTTTGTGGATGGGCATGTTGCTGTCCGCGGTACCGGCAGCATGGGAATCAAGTTTTCCAACAAAGTTAGCGCGACAATCAATGTTGACATTTCCTTAATCATTGACGTGGATCCAAACAACAACGGAATCGGACCTAACTCACAGGCACTGAAAGACAAAGACGATGACAGCGCAAGCGTGGACTTTGAGATACTCCTCTCTGGTGAAGCTGGTGTCGTTTTCGAAGTCGAGAGCAGCTTGGGCGACGGTGAAACAGAGGTCAATGAAGTTGACCTTTCAGGGATTATCACTGTAGAGGCCGACATGTATTTGTATGTTAGTGGCACGGAGACAAAGCTCATGCTTGCTGCAAGTATCAACATCATGCTGGAGGGCATCTGCAGTCTCTCGCCGTATGCTGCCGTCATTTGTGAGATATTTGATGGTGACTCTGAACTCGAAGGGGCAGTGCGTGCGTATGCTGACAAGACTGGTTTCGGAGTGCAACTGGAGCTTTCCGGCTACATTGGATTGAATAATGACTTTCTGGAAGATGTCCTCAATTGGCCTTCTGATGGCCACAGCTTTAGCTTTGGTGTCACCCTCGGTTACAGGGGAAGCACAATCTATGCATGTGCACAGGTGGATGGGAAAGAGTCTTGTTTTCACCGATGCGACAAGGACAGTCAATGCGATGACGATCAGTTCTGCGACCTCCTTGGATTCTGCATCAAGAAGAAAAACGTCGCCAGTGTTTGCCACAAGAACTCTGTCTGCAAATCCTCATACTGTGTTGGTGGTTTTTGCTCGGAATGCCCCACTATCGACAAAACTACAGGTTGTAATGCCGAAACTCAGTTCTGTACTCAGAAGATTGACAAAATTGGATATCGGTGTGAAGCCAAACGTGATGACGGTGGGGCCTGTCTCGACAAAGTTGCTTGCAAGAGTGATCTTTGCGTTGGTGGATTCTGCAGTGAATGCCCAAGAATAGATAGTGAGGAGAAGTGCACTGCTGGCAAATTTTGCACACAGACTTTCACTGATGTGGGCTATCGTTGCATAAACAAGAGGAATTTAGGGGGTACATGCAGTTCAAGTACAGCCTGCAATTCTGGTCGCTGTGTAGCTGGATACTGTTCAGAGTGTGGGCGCATAGACAGTACTGAGGGTTGTGGCAGCAATGAGTTCTGTACTCAATTGATCAGCGCCTTTGGGTACAGATGCAAGGAAAAGCTTGACCCTGGTGAAGGATGCTTGAAGAATGAGGTTTGCAAGTCAGGCTACTGTGTTGGTGGATTTTGTAGTGAGTGTCCACGACTGGACAGTGAGGAGGGGTGTACTGGTGACACATTTTGCACACAAACTTTCAGTGATGTGGGCTACCGTTGCAGAAGCAAGAGGCATTTGGGGGGCACATGCAGTTCAAGTACAGCATGCAAATCTGGTCGCTGTGTTGGTGGCTTTTGTAGCCAGTGTCCCTCCCTAGACAGCACCAATGGATGTGGAAGCAACAGTTTCTGCACTCAACTCATAAGCGCTTTGGGCTACAGATGCAAGGAAAAGCTCAACCTTGGCGATGCTTGCTTGAAGGATGTCGTGTGCAAATCTGGAAGATGCAAATCTGGCTTTTGCTCGGAGTGTGAAAAAATCGACTCAACATCAGGATGTTCCTCGGGGAAGTTTTGCACGCAGAAAATCAATGCTCTGGGTTATCGCTGTGTGGGGAAGCGAGGCTTGGGAAGCACTTGTTCAAGTAACACTGCTTGCTTGAGTGGTAAATGCGTCGGCGGCTTTTGTTCTGAATGCTACAGAATTGATAGCACGAGTGGCTGCTCTAGTGGCAAGTTTTGTACACAAAAGTTCTCCCAGGTTGGTTATCGCTGTGAATCGCAAAGAGGTGAGGGTGGCACTTGTTCCTCCAGCAACGCTTGCAGGGACTATTGTGTAGCAGGATTTTGCCAGCAATGCAGCAACGATGGGCACTGTGGGGGTGGCAGATACTGTACTGGGTGGCCCACATATGATTGCAAAAGTAAGAAGAATAAAGGCTCAGGGTGTGGTTCCAAGAAAGAGTGCAAAAGCAACAAATGTTCTTGGTGGAGATGCAAGTAAATGGATAGCATGTAGGAAGTGGTTCCTTCCGTGAATGCGCATGCTTATACAATGGAGGGGGATCTCTCCCCGAGGTAACCCCCCCCCCACACACACACACCGCCACCACAAGTTGAACCATCAAGAAACCAAACAACGAAAGATGAGCCAATGCCCACCAAACTCCAGAAACAGAATCCATACATGATCTTATTACACTTCTTTCTCAATCTCAATAATAATAATAATAATAATTCAATGGCCTTCCAGGTCGTCTCCAACCCTACACTGTACTAGTACTAGTAAACGAAACCAAATTTCAGACCGTCGGCTCTTGTACTTTAATTTATGGCTGGGAGGTGCAATCACAGTTGTGTAGTCTACTCTAATCCCCCCTTTATACATTTTTGGGTTTTGTGGTTGATTCGTTGATTCTTTGTTTCTCATTCCCGTACAGTGTACTCTTGTTTTCATGGTCTTGCTTTGAAACCCAATGAGAAATAAGCCAGCGGAGCTGTGGAACCTCGGCAGGTTAGTTTTATTGTAGAAGCAGATACCCCTGTTAGCTAGCTAGCTAGAAGCAGATACCTCTACTAGGGGGATGGGCAAATCTTGCAATAGCCCTGAATTGTAATGGAGTGTGACTCGCCAAAATCAGTTAAAAAGACTAAATTCGTATTTTTGCCAGCAAATACATTTAATTGGATTGCATTGGATTGCATTGGATTGGATTGCATTGAATTGGATTGAATTGGATTCCAAATAGTACTGTTATTTATATAGTAAATGGTAATTCAATGCAATCCAATCTAATCCAATCTAATCCAATGCAATCCAATAGAGAAAAACAGCCAAAGTAAAAGATTGGCTTAGCGCACACAATTTTTACAAAAACGCTCTAACAAATTCAACACAGAGCCATGGGCAAGTTTGCTCATCCCCTAGCTAGTGCTTAGCTAGCGGTCTGCCGATCGATATAAATCAGCATCTATTAACAGATTCAGACAAAACATGACACACTCTGGGCAAATATGACAAAAAGGCCCCTCTAGTAAGCAGATAGACCAACAAAAAGAGGTCCGATACATGCTACTAGCCATTTAAAGTATTACATGCAGGGTGTTCGATAGCTAAACTTGTTGCTCAACACCTGCAGTTCCTTCAGCACCAAAGCAAGCTCCATGAAATTCAAGCCCAACAGCTCCGCGATAGCCAGGTCCACATTGAAGCAATGTCAGCCCAAACTTTGTTTCTTTACGATCAACTTGTACAGCTTCGAAGCACACCCAATTCCTCTGTTCCAGATATCAACACTTCCGATAGTGGCTCTGGAGAAGGTTACGCAACAGACATTCCTGCTTGCCCTTCTCCACCCACACCGATCACACTATCTGCTCCTGTGCCCACCAGCACAGCCAACACCATCGATGCAGCCTCTGGCGCGCCACAGTCACCGATGACAGCACCCCCAGAATCTGCTACCAGCACTCCTGTGTTCTGAAGACTAATGTCAAGGTCCAAGGACTAGGCTCTATACTCTAGTGTAGGCCGCTAATAAGTGATTCTAATAAAGACACCACCGGTACCATACCGTACTATTACCGCAGGGGAGAAAAACTGGTTGGTTTGTGAATGGTCGATGTGAATTGAATGGCCAAATCGGCAATCTTGGCAATGGCCGTCCTCCATTCTTGTGCCGACCGTGCCGCGACCCGGGATTGTTCCATGGCATGGGTACCATTGCCGTGCCTCCAAATTTCAATGACTTCATTGAGCCGTCCCACTTCGGTATAGAGGAGAGTGACCAGAGAGGTGCTAGGATCCGTCCCCGGTGCCGCCAATTTGGAAGGCAATCCGTCTCCGTAGTACTGTAGAAACTGCGGGACAGTATCGTATCCCAGTCGCAATTGGTACCGTCGCAGTTCCAAAATGGAATTATCAGGATGATTGTCGATTGGAAGTGGGACAGATTTTAGACCCACGACTCCATCTATTTGAGACACTAACGGCGCTTCGACGTAAATATTCGATTGTGCCGTATCGAGATAGGGGAAGATCGTATCGAGGTAGGCCGTCCACTCGGGATTTTGTGCCATTTTGGCTCGTGTGGCATCACGGTCGGCATGACCTCCTTGATAGTAGTACGCATGAGTGGCAACCAACAGCTGCCCACCCGTTTCAGGGACACTAAAGAATCGTAAAGGAGAAAGGGACGTTCGCAGAGACGCTGATTGGATGGTGGCTTCCATGTATGCTTCCATGTGTCCTGGTTGTACCGCATACTCACGGAGCTCAATGATGGGAACCGTTGTTGACGACGAAAAGGAAGCTGCTGCGGCTGGAACACTCAAATTAGACTGTCTCGTCAACACAGGCAGCAGGGACCCTTCAACTCTCTTCGCGGCGGTCTTCCACCACATGGTGCCTGACATTGTATGGCCATGGACATGCATGATGGCGGCTGTTCGCAAAGTTCCAAGCTGTGCCTCATTTACCTCGGCAGTCTTGCTGGAGATTTTAGGGGGGTGAGGCACCCCGAAGGGGGGCCTCAAAGAGGGATAAAAGAGAAAAGAACTGATCGGGATTCCAGATTCTGACGTAATCAATGCCAGTTGGATCCGTCCTGCGATACAATTACTTAGAAGAAAAAGGGGAGTAGGCAAGCAAACGGACACAACATTAAATAATCAATCGTATTCTGCCCTGTACCCCTCACAAAAAGGTCGTCATGCTTGGAAAAGGACAAATAAAAGACACGGAGAACGTTGAAAGCAACAGTAAACCAATTCAAACCGGCACTAGCTAGATTTAAAGCAATCTGACGCCCACTACGTTCTCTTCTCATTTTTCACGATTTTCCCTTACTGAAACTTTATCTACGGGGTATTGTGTCGGTGCACCGAACAGATCGCTCATTTCAAGTGAAAACTATTCCTCGACAATGAGGATCATGCGGCGCTCTTCCTCTCCTTGGTGGCACCGCTGTCTTGTATGCTCTGTATCGCTGACAGCAGTAGTATTGGGGTTGTCCAGAGGGAAGCATCATCCAGTTAACGGGTTGGAACGGATACATAAAAGGGTACGCTACCATCGCTTGGTGTTGTTGTTGTTGTTGTTGTTGTTGTTGCATTTGAATTTGAATCTGCGGTACTGCAGGCGCTCGTGGCTGCTGTTGGTGCTGCTCGATAGTAGCCGTTGGTGGCGGCGATGGTGGTGGAGTTTCCGGCGCTGGAGATGGCAGTTGCTCATTGTCAGGATTTTGAATTTGAATCGCCACTGGTTCATTATCCTCGCCGCATGCAATGCAGAGGCATCGCTCATTTTTGTCGTATTGGGGCTCTGTTTTGTTCATCCATTGCAAATACTCAGAGAAAAATCGCTCACCAGTGTCTTTTCCCAGGGGCTCTACTTGTAGAAAAGGAATCGACGACCATGATACTCCAGCCTTCACCGCCAACTGATTGATCCAATGGAGCTCTGAGTGGTTGTAGTATGGAACGACGGTCTCCCAATAAGCAGAGATCTTCTTTCGTTCGATGGTGTACGATGGAGGCATGCGGGCAAGGCGCAGCTTGGTGCGCTTTTCAAGATTGTACCGTGCTGTTCCAGTGAGATTGAGGTTGTCGGCCAAGCTGGAATTCATGCCACAGTTTGCGAAGTGAGCCAATAACAAGTGAAAGGACTCGAGCCCTGACTCTCCGCGACGAGACAGATACTCATTGAGAGAATGTTGTGAGTTTGGATTTGGAGGAATGACCTCATACATTTGGTCAAGAGGTAGTGGGTCTTGCAAATACTCAGCTTTTTCCTTGCAATTCATCCATGCATTCTTGGTGTCGCGAGTGAAGAGTGGAAGGTTTGTTTTTGGATCAAATCTCCCTTGCGCTGGTCTTGATTCCTCACTGCTCTTAGAGCACTTGTATCTATGGAACCAGGATTCTAGCCAATGTCGCAGTGATTCAGGTGGTCGGATCTCCTTCCGAAGGAACTTGGCGTATCTCTGCCGGAATTGGTATGTGCTCTTGAGTTCATGAATGTCTTGATCATTTAATTTGCCATCTGGTGAAAGCGTTCCTTCCTTCAGTGCTTGAAAGACCGCTTCAAGATCTCGCGCGTTGTACCGATAGCAGCAATTGAGCAGAGCCGACACAGCTTCTGTGTAATCGACATGTCTCTTGTTCAAGGTACGAGTGATTCTTTGGGTGAAATGGAAAAGTCCGAGCCTTCCTTGAACCTCGTTGCCTAACAACATCGTCCAGTATTCTGTTTTACAGGGCCAAGTATCACTGTACATCACTTTGGGCTTGAACGTCTCTCGAAGGGTGAGCTGCTTTGCTGCGTGAGAGAAGTGAATAGTTTTTGTGGAAGGAACAAGAACAGCAGCGGCAATCTCTCCGGTTTCCACTGAGCAAGTCCACATCGCTTCAGCCAGAAGGTCCTTCTTTTTCTGATGGTAGTTCTTGGTCACTTCGAAAGTGTGATCTTGTGCAATAATGGACCGACACTTGACGCCTTGAATTTCTCTTGTGTGCCTGTCATGGTCGCTAATGCCCCAAGGATTGAGGCTATTGTTGGAAGCCTCATCATACATCTTTCGAATGGCATCTCCTGTCGGTGGGTAGCTTGTGATGTACTCTCCGTCCTTGTCAATGTAAGGTGCGACCGGATCATTTTGGTCACCCGAAGAGGAAACATCTGGCGCTGTAGCAATAAATGAATAGTAACTTGATACCCTTTCCAAATATGCCCTATTCACTGCTTTGTAGAGTAGCTTGGCGCATAATTCACCATTTCCGTAAGTCGGAAGGAGGGTATCGAAAACATCAGTGGTAGATCGGCTGAGATGTCTTGTCTTTCCCATGATTGCATACCGACAGTCTACTGGATAGGCAGCAGCTGCGTACGCTGGCAATTGAGAAAGGATACTGCACTCGTTGGATTTGAATCGCCCTTTACAGGAAGCATCAGTGCATTCCATGTACATGACAATAGCCCATTCAGGTGGTCCTTCGAGATTGAAAATGGGAAAGAGGATCTTGTTCTTTGAGAATTTGGATCGGTCGTTCTTTAGAGTCGCCGCTCCACACTTCGGACATACAACGTCAAGACCAAATATATCTTTCCAGTTGACGTAGTGCAATTTCTGGCCAATGATGCTGTGGTAGTGAGGATCTTTGTTGTTGTTGCGTGCTTCTGGAACAGTAAAAGTCAAACCAGAAAAGTAATTCGGCATCAGCGCTCCTTTCTTTGGATTAATAACTTTTTTGGCAACAATCAAAGCAAGCGCCACCATTGCCAATGGCATCTTTGATGCTGAGTAATCCTCCAGGAATTTCGGCTCTTTGATCATTTTGCTTATCTCAGTACTGAAGTCAATATCGGTCAAGGTTGTTGAATTAGGGGTATCTGGCGAGACACTCATTTTGTTGGGAGCCGACGTCGGAGTTTTGGTTTTGGATCGTCTGGGGTTAAAGAATGCACTACCACCATTGAGATGCGTTGCCCTAAAGTCAGCAGGAGCCGAGAAGTGTCTCTTGAGCCTTCGTTCCTCTGCCAAATCTGCGAGTACTTCCTGAGAAACCACACCCCGTGTCCTTTTGTTGTTTGTGCACTTTGGATGGTGCGCCTTCTTGTATTCAGGAACGGGGATACCCTGTCTTCTCTGCGATTGGTTAATGCACTGCTTACAGTCTCTGAGGGGATCGAACGCTCTCTCGCCTTGTAATGTCAGCTGATCTCCTATTTTCCGTGGTTTCTTCTTGGCTCCTTGTTGCAGCTGATGTCTTCGCTTTTCGTTCGACACTCTCCTCTGGCTCTGCTGCCCCATTTCTCTGTTGTTGGATTGTGCATCCTGCTGCCGCTGCTGCTGCCGCTGCTGCTGCTGCTGCTGCTGCTGCATCCCATCTTCATTATCTTCGTTCGCCATGACCTATTCTATTAGAGGCAATGCCAATAGGAATCCTCTTTTCGGCATCTTAAAATCGTAATAGAGCGAGAGATTCGCGCCATAACCCACCAGCATGATGTAAATAATGCGTCATATTTTAGTGTGACGTCTATATATTTCCATGTCCGTTCTTAATACCGCGGTACTGTTAGCCAATCAGATCTGTGCCTTCTTTTGTATCGACCCCTTGCTGCCAGAGCCCTCAACCCCTTTAATTGTTTTTCCTGCTACGGTGGTCCCTGCAGGTATAAGGGTAGGGTTAGAATACAAATAAGTCAGCAAAACTAAATAGGTATCCTAGCTAGGATGGTGCTTTTAAAAATCAGCTAAAGCTATTTACATGCATCCTAGTAGGGGGATTTGCTTCTACCAGGAAAATCTCTAAAGCCAGCGAACGCTATATAACTAGGATTCTAGCTAGCTAGGGGTATCTGCTTCTAGCTTGCTATGGGAATCTGCTTCTAGCTAGGGGGGGTCTACTTCTAGCTAGCTAAGCGCAAGCTAAGCACTAGCTAAGCACTAGAGGTATCTGCTTCTAAGCTACTGGAACGCTGTGGAAATCGCGGTATCTTGTCGGTCGTGCTTCCGATTTTGTCTAATTTTGAAATAAGACAAGCTTGAAAACACGGTTTTGTCCTAATTCTCAATCTTGTCTTCAAATCTTGTCCTATAAGCCAGATTGGCTCTTCCGGTCTTGTCATATAGGACAAGGTTGTTGCTGTCTCGAAATCTTTCATCTTGTCCTAAGTCTTCAAGCCAATTTTCAACGACACTACTAGTAGCTATTACAAGACGACTACGACCGTACTCCATCTATCGACAGCTAGGAGGCTTTGTTCTTCTTCTTTATCTTTGGTTTCAAGTGCTTCTTTCCTTTCATATCAAATGTATGCAGGTATTTCTTTGTTTTGGCTAGCTGATAGATGTGATCTCTAAACACTTTCAGGGGGTAAGGATCGTATTCATCTCGAAGGCACCAAAGCTCCGTGGATTCTAGCGTCTCGAGTAAGCCAAGCTCGATGTCTTCTTCCAATCGCTTTTTTGCTTCTGATCCATCCCATTCTGGGTAACCATGAGCAGAGAATTTGTGCACAACATTGTTTGTGAGGAAATTGCCGGATGCAGCCTTGTCATCATCGGTTCTAGAGAAAGGCTTCAAAGTCGTGTCGAGAAGTTTTTGTACCCATGAAGAGCATATTCGGGACGGCTTGTAAAGATCTCACTGGTTGGCATTGCTTTGTCGGGCTGTCGCGGAATCACATTGTCGATAATATCTTGCATCAAAAGCGCTCTAGCTTTGCTCTTGAGCCAGGATTCTTCGGCATCTGGTGGGATCTCGTCCAATGGGACTTCCAATTGCTCATCCTTAAGGATGTCGGGTGGTAATGGAGGAGGAGTCCTCGAATTCTTGGTGGTTTGACGTCGCGGCATGGTTTGTTGTGTGTTGTTGTTGTTGCTGTTGCTGTCAAACGACCCAACTAACTTCAAGAACTTTGAGAGCTAAAAATCTAGCTCTCCAAGAAAGAATTTGAAGAGCAGGGAGACACGTAGAAATCCTACCACGAGCAGGCCTTGCTGGCTTAGGTCACCTCTGAATTCAGAATTCTGCTGGCCTCCAATTTTTTTGGCGGCCCAAAGGTGCCACAATGGTCTCAACCCAAAGTGGAAAGAAGGAAACAAAGGCTGATCCTGGTGGAGGGTCTGTTGCATCACCTACTGTTGGCAGTAGACCAGGGTTACCAGCATTTGTAATCAAGTCTCTTGCAACTGACATCCAACGAGAGTACGGAGGAATTCACAAGCTAAAGGGCCCAAAGGTGCTGCAAAAGCTTCTCGACAAGCACAACTTGGACGACAAAGCTTTGTATGGAGAAGTTGGCTCGGCTCTTTGTATCAAGATTAGCAACAAGGTAAACAAGTGGAAATTGTTGTCACAGGATCAGTGGCGGAGCAGAGTATTGCTGAAGCTCGAAATTCCAGAAATTCCCACCAAGAAAGAGAAAGAACAGGTTGAGAAAACCGATTCTTCGATCAGCTCAAAGGAAGACGAAGATGAAGACGACGAACTGCCTGTTCCAGCAGTGATCGAGACGCCCACCAAACTACCCAAGAAGAAGCAGGAAACGCAGGAAACTCCGAAGTCAACACCAACAAAGCAGCAAGGGATCGCCAAGATGTAGAAATCTACCCCAACAAAAGATCTTGCTGCCAGTCTCGACAATTTGAACTTGGGCAGCAGCAACTCTAGCATTCGTACGTGCTGAGAAATGGGATAATATTTGTTCTTGGCTGTTCTCCTCACTGCCTTTTGCTTGTTTCTTAGTTCCAATCCAAGTCGATATTGAAAATCCGGCAAATAATGGGCCACTTCAGGTCTACGAGCTCGGCCAGATGCTTGAGGGTGTGGGCGACCACAAAGGATATCTCTATTATGGATACGCTATTGTTCTTCTATTGGATCTCCGCTGGATTTTGGACGATCTGACGACCTTTTGGTATTCGGCGCGTATTACGAGCAGCAATGAGATATTGGTCAAACTCCCCGCCTGGGATTACAATCAGCGGTTCCATCGAGATGCATTTGAAGCATCAACATCGAACGCTGCCAAGGGACTTGCGGGTGCATTGGATCATAGTCATGACAAGCTCAAGAAGAAGCAACCAAAGGGAGGGCCGGCTATCAAGCAGTTCCAATACTATCGACTTGTGTTTCCGGATGATCACGAGTTCGATGCCAAGACTATTTTTGCCGATTCTGGAGAGGACAATTGGCTTCAGCTTTTGATTGGAACTGTGAAGATTGACCATCGACTTTTGATTGTTGCTGTTGAGTGGCTGTCATTGGTTTCTAGCTTGTCATTGGTTTCGTGATTTTGTCTTAAATCTACCAGTCTTGTCACCCAATCTTGTCTAGTGAGAATTATAGGACAAGATGTCGTGTCCTAACCGAGAATTAGGACAAAACGAGATTTCCAATCTTGTCTTAATTCCAAACCATCTTGTCTAGGCACGACTGCCCATTCCACAACGTTCCTGTAGCTAGCTAATAGGGGGATCTGCTTCTACACTGAAACCTTTCTGCCGAGGTTACACAGCTCCGCTGGCTTATTCTTGGAGGCATCAGATCACTGACGTCAGTCCCATTGGTTCATGAATTAGACGTCATAGCAAATGGTTGACTCCCACCCCGATCCGCACGGCGAACGAATTTGGGCATGGCACCCCCCAACAAATCAAATTGATCCATCTCAAATGACAATAGCAGGAACAATTCATCCAACACTTGCCTCGTCTTTGGATCCAGCAACCGGCCGTGCACCAGGAATTAGTCCTGGCCCTATTCTTAGTGCTACCGGTACACTTTGTAGGACCTTATATGCGGCCCACCTTCAGCCAGCACTGCCATGCCCGGAAGGGTCAGAGGTCAGTTCCAGGACCAACGTCAAGACTGTGGACTAAATGTCTGGCCCTTCCTTGTACCCATGAACCAGCCAATCCAAAGCTGACTAGGAGGACAACTCTAAAAGGGAAATCCGACGCCACCGGGTCCCACACCAGGGCTGGCTTCGCTCACGTCAACGCGAAGACAGCAAGCAACCACCAAATGGTTGTGTGACGGTCGGGTCTCGGGGAAGCAATCCAATGGAAAGATGGACCCGGGGCTGCTCGACTAAGACATTGCTCGCCCTCAGCAAACAAGCAAACTCACTGCGTCGGGTCCTTCCTCGCCTACTAGCTAGATGCCCAGGGCCATGTGCCGCTGCACGGGATCCTTCTCCACCTCGGTATGTTGGCTTCCTTTCAGGGCCCTACTTACCGTGACTTGACGATCGAAGCCCTTCCTCCTGATAATGGCTCGTTAAAGTTACTTCGTATTCAGAGTATTCTTTAGTTAAATTCCGTTTTACTGTAGTGTTACATATTGTCAACATTCAAGTGTGCATCGTTCGTTCGTTCGTTCGTTCACTGTTCACAAACTCGTGCCCTTGGTCTCACATTAGCAGCCAATCTGAGCCAGGGTATGAGCTTCCATCGGTTCCAACAGCTCCAGGCAGGCATATCACTGTATCTGAAGCCGCCAAGCAATCCAAACGCTCTTTATTTACTGTGTCTTTTTAGATTTGTTGTTTTGTGTTGCTTCGGTCGTCAATGGGACCTCCCTGAAATTGCGATAGTATTGCACTCCATCGGTCAAGCTATCGACGAAATGACAAGTGGAAGCGACCTTCCACAAGGCCGATGCCATGGGTGTCGGATCATAATTGTACAATCCCTTTGGTTCCAAGTAGGCTCGAATATGTGCGGTGGCTTCAACGGCGTGATAGTGCTGTCAAAGCAAATGCAAAACGAGAGAACAAGCAACAGGGTGAGGTTGGAAAGAAACCAACAAACCAACCACCATGTCTAGTCTGTCGGCGAGACATCATCACTCTGTTGCATTGCATACGTACCGGAATTTCATGGAACAAATGATGACAGACATGAGTGGTCACGATATGGTGACTCAACGAGACCCCCATGGGTGGATGCAAAGGACGATCAATGGTTCCTGCCAAGGCACCCTTGATCCAGTTCCAATTGTCGGCATCAAAGTGTGGCACGGTCGGGTCCGTGTGTTGCAACCACGTGAATGTGACCAAGGTGGCATTGATCAACAAGTAGGGACCCCCGTACCAGAACCAAACGGCTCTCACACCAAACAGGTACGAGCAGTATGCCAAGATGGAGAGTGTAATGAGACAGCCGATATCGGATGCCACGACTTTCCAGTACATTTTTTCGGGAAAGAGACGAGACCAGGGACGGAAATGATCCGGGAAGGTTCCTTTTTCAATCCATTTACCATCACTGCCAAGATGTCCATTGGATCCAATGCCCAAGACGTATAGTTGAAATCCCATGAACAGGCGACTCCACAACATGAGACAGGAGAATGCTTCGTCCCCATTGTGTTCGTGACAAAGGGCGTGTCCATAATGAAAATGACTAAAGAAATCGGTCAATCCCCCTTCGGCAAAGACGGATAGCTTGGAATCAATAACCTCTTTGGGCAAGCGTTCATAAGTCCCTTCATCATTCTTGATGAGTCCCATTTCTTTGTGATCCGGTGGCACATGGGTTTCTCCTTCAATCAAATCGTTGGTACGTCGATGATGTTTGGCATGACTGAATGCCCATGTAAAGTAAGGAACCAGAATGGAGGAATGAAGGATCCAACCAACAATGTCATTGACAATGGGATAATCACTAAAGGCGCCATGACCGCACTCGTGTCCAATCACCCACAATCCGCCATAAGCTGCCGTCATGAAGAGGGCATAAACATTCCACGCCAATCGCCATGCGATCCAGCCCACGGGATTACCCAAAAGACCCCCTTCCGGTGGATCCACCGAGAGGGTATGGTACGTAATGTACGCGACAATGGCCGACATGAACAGATCGCGTCCAATCGAGTAGAAACTCCAAAAGAGCGAGCGTTCAAAACAATGAGGAGGAATCACGGCGCGCAATTCCGATTTGGTCGGAAATTGAGCGTTGATCTCCTTCAACGACATGGACGATACCGTCGGGTCGATCTTGTCGGGCGTAAACGGAGATACCCACGCGCCATCGATATTGTTGTTGGTCTTTGTTGAATCAGTAGTAGTAGTAGTGGGTTTGGTGGAAAGGACGGCATTCTTGGTAGCGGCATCGGCTGCTGCCACCTGGCCTTTCACCACTTCGCATTGACCTCCACTGCCCATGATGATGATATATCTTATCTTATCTTCAATTTGTAAGTGTAAAGAGATTCCGTTCTACTACTGTATAATAATGCTGCCTTCGGCTCGACGGAAAATCGTGGACACTTATGCCAGCAGCACAGAAAAATGAGACGAAAACAGGCGAAAGCCTCACGTATTTGGCCCTTTGACAATCTTGGCTAAGAAACTCGCAGATTTTGTCACATATAAGAGTCCCAGCAAGCCCTCACCCTAAAAAAGTCCTTGGATTTCCCGCGAGCCCGCCATTGGATGCCCGCCCAAACTCAAGAGACGACATCCTCTACTAGCCAGTAGCCACCGCACCTCTGGATATTGAAACAGAGGCCAAGCAATGGATCCTCATGTTCTCGGTTGGGTCCTGTTTTTCTCCATACATGGATCGATCTCTAACCCAGCTCGCTCATGTTTACAATGCCTCCTAGTAGCTACTGGTACATGTATAAGTCTGCTTCTCTCCTGGCTAGATTGTTCGGTGCTTCCACTGGAGCTTCTGCTGTACCAGTTTCCACTCGCCTTTATGCATGCCAGGCTGCACCGGTACATTGTACCACTGGTACATGTTTATAAGGAGCACCTTATCAAGTTGCTGCGTCCAACGCATTGGAGCCTCAATTTGGAGGTTCCGCTCTTCATGGTTTTGTCAATCACGAGCGAGACTCAATGTACCCACCAGGAGTTGGTGGCCAGCCTTCTTTCCAAGGCAACTGGTGGTTTGATGGTTGCTTGTTGCTTGCTAAACTGGCCAACAGATGGGCACTGTCGAAAGGTCCTCGAGGTCTCTATGGTTTGCTCCTCTAATAACATGGATCTGTGTTGTTGGGACTTGTAGGAAGACCTGGTGTGTTTTCTTTCGCTTGGCTTGGCTGGCTGGGCTTGTGGGCTTCCCCCCGTTTGCCTTCGGGAGACGTTTATCCTCTCCTTTCCCTGGCTGCCTGCTGGTTGTAATAACGTAGCCAACTATACGTCCTTTAGAGTAGCAATATCAAGGGATCGCTAGAGCATCTGATACTGGTAGTACATTCCAACTTGTTTAGTGCTGTTCCAAGGTTATGTGCATTGATTATTTATTCTAATGTAACATGATGTGTTCAGAAAGTGAATCTGCCTGCCTGCCTGCCCGAGACCCCTCCTTAGCTTCTTTAGGCAGCCCTATTGGTAAAGAACTCAATGTCCATCCCATCACTCTCATCTTCCAGGTCATCACTGATAATCCATGTATCCTGAAAGAGTTCAAAAATGTGTTCTTTGCGATCATCGTAGAGCCTTTTTAAGTTGGTAGAGACGTTATCCCGCCTCTGTTGGAGATCCTTTTCGCCGTCCGTGTAAAAGAATTCAGGGGGACAAGATCCTGCTCGTTTGGGATGTTGTGGCATTTCCGGATGATGTTGTTCGCCGTGAAAAGAGTGTGCTTTTTGGCGTGTTATTACGGGTATCAGCTCTGGTTCGTCATCGTTCTCTGGTTGTTCGCCATCATAGTAATCATAAAAGAAGGAATCAGGCGTCCTGTCGACGACGAGACTTGGGAAATCTTGGTGCGGCAGTTGTTGTTGTTGCAGAAGAGAGTCGTCTCGAAGGAGGACCACGGCCTCCGGGGAAGAATGGGAGCGGCGGTGTCCTGCCGACTTTTTGTGATGCTGGGCATTGGCCAGATCGTTCATGGACGAAAACACATGAAACATTGGTGTGGTCATGTCGAGGATTTTGTGTGTGTTGCGAGGAAAGTAGCTTGGTTGGTATTATGATCCAACTGATGAGATTCCTTCCGTTGACAAACAATCTGGCCGTTGCTCGAGATGGTGCTGCTGTCTGACAACAAGTCGTGTCCAGCGAGCACTGTTCGAGAGTTGCCTTTTCACCTCAATCAAAACGCTTCATGGAATCTCTTCATTTAAGGGATACTCTGTCTGCATGCAAGTTTTGATGGCCTTGGAGCCGCAAGGATCCTGAAAGGGGATCTTCAGCGAATGGTGCGGTGGAAGAGTCAGTCACGGCGAAATGAATCAGAATCGAATCGAATCAAATCCCCTTCGGTTCGTCAACTCGTGCTTGGCCGCAAAGTTGCACAAAGAGACTTCGTACGAATGATGCGGTCCAGAGCCAGCAAGCGCCCAGGTCCTTTGCTGCAAGAGAGCTACCGCTACCGTGAAACGTATACTCCTACTGATAACTTTGTATACACCTAATGGAATACCTAGAAGCAGCCAGCATATTTATTGCATTACTTTCCAAGCCGATGGTGCCGACGGTGTGCGCCACAGATAGCACAGTCGGCTCTTCGCGACTTCTTGTCCCGCCCGGAGCCACTAGCTCGTTAGCCTGAATCTTCAAACTCCCTAGCTAGCTCGTACGGTACCGTATTTTAAGTCGGGGGGGAACAGACTATCGCTCGCCAAGACCAACGCAACCAAAGGCGATTTGTCGCGGAAATCAACAATGCGGTTCTGGCTGCGGCAACAGCATGCATGTCAATCCTTGAGTTCAGGTCAAGGGTTGGTGGTGGTGACCTGGTCCACACAGACCCCGCAAATTGAATCATTCAACTGTTTGCGTCGAGCAGCCCTGTCATCATCTATTGTCTTGACCTGAAAGGATTATGAGGTCTCGGTGCAGGCAAGCAACCAAAAGCGCTCTCGCGAGTTGGAGAGCGATCGATGCATTGACCTTCACTCTATATACACGGCTCGAGTCAGCGGAAACCGAAGGATCAGCGAACCTCTCTCGCGAACTGCCGTACTGAGCAATGACTTGGCTCGTGGTTTGACTGAACGGCAACTGAAGATGCCTATGATAAGGGGGGCATTCCAGTCCAGTCTTCGTGTGTCCTGAACAACGTCCAGTTGAGATCGTCTTGGACAAGACAAGATTTGAAATCCTGCAATCTGTTGGCTGCACTAATGCATTTGCGAAGGAGAGTGATGACTCGAGTTGAGTCTGGCTTTTTTGGTGACATTTCATTGCTTGTCCGACTGCCAGCCAAGCAAGGTCCAGCAGCCACATCGAGTGTTTGTCCAATTTGGGCTTCTTGTGGAACAACCTACAGTTTTTCGTGTGTGGTTTGCAACTGAATGGGTCTCGCAACTCCACTGGGAATGGATCATGAGTGCCTGTCCAGGGCGACATTCTTGGTTGGTTCATTCGGAGGTTGGCTGCTCTATCCTCGACCAGCTACACTGTACTGCCAGGTTGAGCAGGTCCGCTACCGGTAGGGGCTCAACTATGCACTACCTTGCTTGGCGGCAACGGCAAGAGAGAATCTCCATAATGATGCTTGGTGCCTTAGGAAGAAGCAAGATCTGGTGGAAGAAAAGTGAGACTCACTATGAAACTCTTTACCAGTATACAATCAACTCAGTCTCAAGTGCTTTTTCACTTCCTTCCACTCGAAACTCCAGGACCAAGTTGCAAAGCTAGTTCAGCAGGGAATAAGGGGATCAGAAGACTACAGCTAACTACAGGGTGGCGAGATCAAGCAAGAGCAAGGTCTACGGTAGCAGGCCAGGCAAAATACAGAATCAAACTCATCATTTGTGTGCCTGGAGTGTACGGTACACGTGTACCTGTTACCAGGTACAGGAACCGGGACCGCTGGACGCACCTCCATGGTCGTATGCTTCCCATCAAAGATACAGTACTGGTACCGGTAGTACGGCACGGCACGACCGCAGAGGTGCGGGGCCTTCCAAAGGGAGGATATGAAAGCAAGCTGCCGGCAGCTACCAGCCGGTACGGTAGCTACCGTACCGCTGTGGCGGCCATTAGAGTGCTTTTGACTGTTTGTCAGCTCGTGCTTGGCTGCGAAGCTATGTCATCTCCCGCCGTTGCTGTGTCGTAACCGTCAACTCGGCCTTGCCGCTGCTGCCTGTACAAATCGTCGTTACTAGCGTTGCTTTCCCCACCATTGTCTTCACCGTCTTTGACGGTTTCGTTGCTCTGACCCTGAGCTTCGGTGTAGCCTTTCATTTTTTCGTCAGTGCTCGTAAGGTAACTCTGGAATGAAATGTCCCGCTTTTGGTTTCGCGACTTGCTCATGGCAACTGGCTCTGACTTGCGACCGTCGACCCACGGCTCATCATCGTATTCGCTCGACTCGATGGGTGTCCATGAGTCTTCCTTGTTAGCTAGCTGTTGTATCTGCAGTATACCGACGGTGTCATCGTGCGTCGATGGTGGACTTTCTTTTGTATCTGGCTTATCGTCGACAATCTCCTCAAAACCTACTGTGAGTGGAGTCAGTGTCGCGCAGTCCAAAAGCACACGAGGGAGAGTCAACAACTCTTTGAATAGATTGCTACCGCAACAATTCAACTAGCTAGGCAGCCCTACCTAAAAAGCATGAAACATGTTGGCATTGTTGACGCACGTAGCTCTAGCGAAGCAATAGTATGTAATGAAAATATGAAAACTGCAGCCGACGTTCGCCTGTTGTGGCGTGACACTGCACTAACAATCCACCGCTCCTGTGCCGTCGGTACCACAACCGTCGTCGCTGGCAAATCCAGTCGATCCCCGTTCGCCTGAACTAGTGGTCATTCCTGACACTACAGACCCGGTGACTGTAGGTTCTGTCTGAGGATCAATCCAAAACGTTTCCATGTTGCCTGCAACAAGAGTATCGAAATGAACCATGTAAGGCATTGTGTCGCGGGTACGCATCGATCAAAATGGCTCGTCTCCTGACTTACCCTTGCCTTTGGCTTCTACACCTCCTTCTCGCTGGGTCACCCAGGAACCCTTGCCAGCAGCAACAATCAAATCGGCGGTGGCTTTCGAGGCCTGAATTCGTCCTGCCAATCCAGTGCTCTCCATTCGGCTGGCGGTGTTCACGGTATCACCAAATAACTGTGTGTTGGAATAGAAGGGTGCCATTGGATGCAATATGAGTGAGTGACCAAGCATACAAAATCAACAAATGCAGTAGTTTGTGCAGCCAACAACTAACTGATGCCTTCCTACCTGGAATCGTGCTCGATCACCTCTGAGTACTCCAGCAGTGACAGGTCCACTGCATGATTGCGGGGGCAAACAGAAACCGGTGAGATGACAAATGACTACTTGGTCAGCCAAGAACACACTGCAGGGAGGCGTACCTGTGAAGCCCAACTCGCATCTGCAGGCTAGCGGTCTCCTCGCCTAGGGTGTGCACAAGTTTGGAGTGAATGACTTTGTTCATGACCGTGCGGCACTCGTGGGCAAAACGGGCCATAATGAGAGCATGCCTGGATTGCGGGCTACCGGAGGGCAACAAAGAAACAAAGCAGATTTGAGTTGACAAGGCTGGAAACTATAAACCAATTGAAGTTCATTGGTATCAACCAACGAACGTACCGAGGAACGCCAGTAATTGCCAGATAGCAATCACCCTGTTGGAAACGTCAAAAGATATCATGTATGTTAGCCACGCAAGTAAAGAGGTTTTTGAGAGCTTCTTCGCAGTACGCGCAAAACTTACTATAGTCTCAACTTTGAAGACCCTTCGTTTCTTGGCTATGCGGTCGAATTCTGCATACAACGTCTCGAGGAGCTGCACGAGAAGAAGAGAAAGCAGCATACATGGTGAGGTGGGAACACTAGTAGACAGACAGTCACTCATCTGCTGTTCGACCAGCCACGGCAGCAAATGGCATCTTACCTGAAAGACGTGCTTGGGTTCCTTGGTACTGCTCCATTGGGTAAACCCGGCCAGATCCGCAAAGAGAATGGTGGAGTCGTTGTAAAGGTCGGCCACAATGCCATCGGGTTCCTCGTCTGCTCCACCACCGTTTGGTTGTTCGACCAGAAAACTACTGGAATCCGTCTTGACGCTTTTGGTGGCGCTTGCATCAAAGAGACGGTCGCGAACCGCAGCGGGATACAACGAGTTGACAACTTCCGTGCTCTGCACGGCCTTTTTCATGACGGCGGTTTGTCTCTTTTCCACCATGACATCGTATAGAACAAAGATCAAACTGGTGACGACGAATACGGCGACAACCACCAGGGTGAAGATCAGGGGCATGCTGGTGAGGAAATGATCTTCCATTTCGACAGAGGGATACACCTTGATGCCGTAAATGCACTGGTTGTCAAAGTCCCCCGTGGCGGCGTGTCCTCCTAGGAACGCTCCATATCCAGTGGAAACCACGAGATCATCATACTTGGGATCATGTAGATCCCCCATGCCCACATAGCTTGCCGAAGCACCATTGATGACATAGGTAAACGCTTGATCGCAATTGTTCTCCAAGACAACAATCACACCTTGCGCGTTATCGGCATCCGGCAGCACATTTTCAAAATAGATTTGCCAGCTGTTGGTTCGGGGGGATAGGTAGTAGAAAGAAAGAAAGAGTGGATGAACAATCAAGTCATTGTCAAGCATGAATTACAGCAATCAACAGGTCACTTACTAGACATACGCCGACAAGACGCCGACCATGGTGCGTTCCTCCGGCGGAATGTCCATGTACGTGTCTTCATCTTCATAGGACTCAAAGACGGGGAAGTACAAATCACTGGCGGGTCCATCCTCATACTTTTTGCCGCCATCTTTCCAGCGCATGAGGTACATGTTTAGGACGGCCTTGCGGGCCACAGTGGCGCGGTTCTGCAGAGAATAGTCCCACGCCGGAGTGACCAATGGCTTTTGCGTGGCCATGACCGTCTGGAGATCCGGTCCGCGGGTGGAAGACGAAAAGGTATTGTAGTTGATACCGGAATTGACGCCTTCGATAAAGGGCGCAAACTGCCACCAGGGAAGAAAGTGTTCGGCGTCGTCAGGGGGGAGGGAAATGCCGTCGGCAGTGAGGTTGAAAATGTAGGGCCGAATGACCATGCCATCTTCGACGGGGCCACGAAAGACCTTGTTTAGAAAGTCCGTGTATCCCTTCTCCTCCTCATAGTCATAGTCCTCTGATTTGCGCTGTTCCTGGTAGACAGTTCCCTGGTCAATCCATTCGGTGTTGTTGCCCGAGTACTCGCCCCACTCGGTGCGTTCGTCGGCATGGACCAGCGGATGAAACGTGAGGGACATGACGGCCGAGAGTTCCAAAATGTACGAGGAAACCCTCTGGTAGTCCGGGATGGTCACCATAGGCCAGGTCTCGCCACGAGCGCGGGCGTTGCTGGCAATCGATACGGCAAACAGTTCAATGGCGCCCAAACGAAGGGCTGCGTTGTCGGTGAACGAAGCGGCCACCTTTTGCGCGTGATCTTGGTACTGCCTCTCAAAGTCTTCCACTTCTCCGTTGCGGGTGAGCATGTAGACAGCGGTAGAGACACCGGTCGCCACCACCACCAGCACGAGCGCCAGCAGAGTTCGAAAGCGACAGACCGCCTTGTCCTCGCGGTTCGCAATCATAATCTTCTCGGGCTCGTCGTCATTGAAGCTTCGATTGGTGCGGGACACACGAGACTGGTCCATCAGGTCGCCGTCGTCGCCCGGTTCTTCTGGAATGGTACGGGTAGGGGTATCGGTACTAGGCGTCATGGTCTCACTTGGTTTGCAACAAGAAACTTTTGATCGAAAGAAAATAGACGAAAGGGGTTGATCGTCGAGATTGTGAGCGAATCAAATCGGACATCAGATTCTTGTCCGGGAGGAGCAATGGCGTAATTGCCACATGATTCTTAAATTCAGAGTTTCGAGGCAATGACCTCCAGTCACATTTGCACTGCATCTTGACAAGGCGGCTGTGGAGAATACCGTAGCTTATTTGCATAGCTACGGTAATAGCTGTACCGGTACCTCAGTGAGTACTTTCAGTAGCTATCATAAGACTAGTTTCGATAGTCAAAATAAATGTCATGTCGTCATGTATTTCACTCCTGAGGGCCTGAGGGTTGCGCATTTTGTTGATGACTGGAAAAAACGAAAATACACCTCTTTTTCTCAAGACTTTCGCACGGTAATAAGTACTCAAGTACCGGTACAGCCCTAGACTACCGACTCATTGAAGGAGTGCGGTCATGTAGATTGGGGAGTCGAAAATTGGACCAGAAGATGAAAAAACCAAAAACAAATGCAAATCTATTCCAGCTGGGAAGTCTTCAAACAAGCGGGAATTCTCGTTTTTTGAAAACCACAATCTCCCTGTCACTCTTCTAAAGGCTCTGCCGCAGAAAATTTGTTTTTGATGATTTTACATGTATCACTTTTCTACTGAGAACAAGCACTCTCGCCCCAAGTACTTGTGTCAACAAAGTGAAAATGAGCGATTTTGTTTCATTGGTTTACCCATTTTCAGTGAAGGTCCTGCCTTACCGTACTGTACCTTTCAATGCGTCGGTAGTTCAAGGACTGCAAGCAGTCATCGTGCCTTCAAGCTGGAGTCGCGTTCTTTGTCAGTTTCAAGCCAGGACATATCGAGCAACGTGCTTTCTACGCACCAGGTGAAGTTGTTCTCATTTGTAGACCCATCATATTGCCTAAATGATTTAGAGAAACATACATCATTGAGAAGAGTAAAGAGTTGGATATTAGCTGTTTAATTCCGTATTGCTCGCCCTAATTGGTTTTAAGTCATCCTAATAGAAGAGAAGTGCAGGTCACCGAGCAGTCACTAAACAGTAAACAGTAAACAGACATACGGTACTATTAATAGTACATTTATTTACCGACATAAGCTCCGACATAATTATGTCTATACTGGCTTTGAACGGAGAACGGAGGGAGTACAACAGAACATTGGACATTCTTGCAATAGCACACTGTAAATAGAATTCTATTTTAAGGCTACTCTGAGTACGACTATCCACCGTGCCGCTACCCTAAACCGATAACCCCCACAAACATTGGGGCGGAGAGAGTTGGCCCCCTCAGCCGGGAAAGTTTAAAACCCAACCGAGGCAAGATATTAAGGGGAAGGTCACCAACCGGACCGCCCGTGCTGCTGCTGTCATCAGCACTGCTACTAGCTGCACTATTGCTGATAGTGTCAACACTGCTGTCATCTAAATCAAGGTCAGACCCGAAAGCCTGATCCAAAGTTGCTGCTGCCTCATGGAAGGCTGCGGCCAGTTGTTGCTGCTCTCTACTTGCTTTGCCCACCACTGGCATCCAATTTGATAGCCAGGCTTTGATATCGGATGGTGCCATTTCCATTTTGTCCTCTAGTGGCCTTTTGAAAATGGAGTTGACAAGAAACAGTGGCACCTGGTCTGCCTGC